GGCCAGTGATGGGCAGCAGCAACAGAGATAAGAGTATGAACAGTAGTCATCTTGGCAACGGGGGCAAAAGTCTCATCGTAATCAATCCCATACTCCTGAGAAAAGCCCTGGGCAACCAAACGAGCCTTGTATCGTTCCAAAGAACCATCAGAAAGGGTTTTGACCTTATAAACCCATTTAGAGCCTACAATATTCTTGCCAGTAGGTAATGGAACCAAATCCCAAGTCTGAGTATTAGCTAAAGCAGTTAACTCGTCATTCATGGCAGCAATCCAATTGGGATCATGACAAGCTTCCTTGTAGGACCTAGGCTCAAAATAAGTATGAAGACAAGAAAGAAAAGACTGATATGAAAGGGAAAAACATGTATTACCAAAACCATACCAGTTCGGAGCACGACGATCACGCGTGGGAAAATGACGGGCAGGAGGAGCAGGATCCAAAGAAACAGCTGGAGGGACAGTAGAGCTAGAGACAGGCGAACTCGGAAGTGCTTTGCGACGCTGATAAACAAGAAGAGGAGCAGGGGAAGTGGGAGCTGGAGAGGGAGGAGCTGCTGAGATATTAGAGGTACTAGGAGGAGGCAAGGTAGAGATCTCAAGATCATAAACAAACTCATCAGAAGAAACATCAGAAGGAAATGGGTCAATGTGAACCAATTCCTCCTTGGTAATAGGGATAGGGGTGGAAGGTATAGTGTAGTAGGGTAGTTTTTCCAAAAAAGTGGCATGCCTAGGCACATAAAGCTTTTTGGTGGCAGGATCATAGCACCGATAACCTTTCTGATTAATGCCATACCCTAAAACGACACATAGGACACAACGAGGACTAAGCTTAGAGCGCGCCCGTTTAGGAAGGAGCACAAAGCATGTAGAACCGAAAACACGAAGAAGAGAATAATTGGGAGTAACACCAAGAAGACGCTCATACGGAGAGGAGTCGGAGAGAAGAGGAGTAGGCATCCGATTGAGAAGATATACAGCAGTGAGCACAGCTTCGCCCCAAAAGACAGAAGGGACAAAGGATGAGAGTAGCAAAGACCGAGCTGTATCAAGAAGATGGCGATGTTTGCGCTCAGCGCGACCATTTTGGGCAGGAGTGTCTGAACAAGAAGACTGATGAATAGTACCATGAGTAGCTAAAAACTCCTCAAACTCAGACAAGTAATACTCACCCCCCAAATCAGAACGAAGAACTTTAATGGTGGTGATTGAGTGCAAATCATGGAGTGAAAATTGGAATATATTTTGTAAAAATTAGATTTTCGTGTCATCAAATAAACCCATGTAAACCGACTGTAATCATCCACAAAAGATACATAATATTGCGAACCGCCCTTAGTAACTATCCCCAAACATCAGTATGAACCAATTGAAAAGGAGAAGATGAAATAGAACTACTTTTATTAAAGGGAAGAGCAGACATTTTAGCCAGTTTATAACCACGACACTCTGAAATATCAGCAATGGGAAAATGGCCTAAATGTCCAGACTGAACTAACATCCTCAAACGATCACTCGACAAATGCCCTAACCTAGAATGCCAAATATAAAATAAAGAGGACTTATTGTTTAAACAAAAAGAAGACAATGCAGTAGAAGACACATCTAAAGGAACATGTAAGCTGTCCAAGATATATAGTTCTCCAACTCTACGCCAGATCCCAATCTGCCTCTTGGAGACCCGATCCTGCACAACACAATGAGAGGAAGAGAAAACAACATCAAAACCGGAATCAGATAATTGACTAATAGAAATAAGACTAAGTGAGAGGTGAGGTACATAAAATACAGGAGAAAGAGACAAATGGGAAGAGAAAATAGAACCAATAGAGGAGACAGGCATAGATGAACCATTAGCAGTAGCAATAGTGATAGGAGAAGGAGGGGAGACACAATTACTAAGGAGAGATGCAACAGGGGTCATATGATGTGAACAACCAGAATCAAAGATCCACGAATTGTGGATATTACCTGAGGATGATGAACCAGACAAACCTAATTGAGTGGTAGTCACAGTGGAAGCCTGGGACGAAAGAGTTGGATTGGCCACCATGAAAGACTTGAACTGCTCAAACATAGACTGCATATTGGAAGATAGACCATTCTCAAAAACTGGTGCAGAAAAGGCGGCAGATGAGCGAGATCCCGAAGATGTCGGCTTAGAGGATGGTGGACCAGGTGAACGGCCTTTGGGCTGCACTAGCTTAGGACAAGCATGTTTCCAATGACCTTTCTGATGACAGAAGCTGCACTCATCCATAGAAACCCGAGGCTTGGGCTTACCAGTAACTTGAAATAAAGAAGATGATGGGGTTGGCAAGAGCGGAGGAGTGGCAAAAACTGATTGGGAATGAGGAGTACCATGAGCCACCTTAAAGTGAGTTTCTTCTGCAATAAGCTCACGGACAGCACCATCAACAGAAGGCAAGGGGGGCCGATGAAGAATAGCGCCCCGAAGTGGCTCAAACTGATCACGAAGGGCCATAAGAAACTGAACAAGACGTTGCTTCTCCCGATACTTGGTATAACTGTCAAGTAACTGCAAATCAGTTAGAGAGATACAGTGAGCCAGAGATCACGATGAGGAAGGGCGAAGGAGAGAGTCCCAATCCCAGCGACCAGAACCACGAACGACCAGAGAGAAATCAAAGCAGAGTCAGGCAGTCGCGATTGACGAAAGAATGACGAACGACATCGACGACTTGGAGCCGAAATTACTGAGAGAACCACGAACGAAATTCATGAAGCAGAACAGAAGAGGTAGGCGCGAGACAGGGCAGTCGGGTCTCAAAGCCAGGCAGAGGCATTCGCGAGAGAACTGTTGGTCGCTAGAAGCCTTCAATCACACCAGACGATCACAGGGAAGAAGACGTCGACTCAAGGGCTTCTAGAGGTTTGACTCAGAACCTGCTCTGATACCATGATAACAAAGAACATCTATTTCATATATCATTGAATAATCATTGAGTACAATACATATAACCTAAATGAAATAAACCCTAATAATCTAATAGACTAAACTACCCTAAATAACTAATAGAAAATACAATAATCTTCACACTCTCCACTGATCTCGATCTCTCTCCACTGATCTCGGTCCCGATTTCGAGCAGAGTAGTGCGAGTTCCAGCAGAGGTCTTCACTGGCTATGGCGTAACTGCTTTAACATTTTCAAAGATCTCTGCTTAGATTTTCAGATTTTTTGAAATTTTTTGGGTTCTATTTGTTGTTGGGTTTGTTAGCAAATGTCTTCACTGGCTAGATTTTCTGAGATCTCTGCTTTAACATTTTTTGAGATTTTTTGAGTTCCAGCAGAGGTCTTCATTGGCTATGGGTTTATGGGTTCTATTTGTTGTTGGGTTTGTTAGCAAATGTGTTGATGGGTTTGAGTATTTCAATCTGACAGAGCTTCGATTTGAATCTTTCTATGGAGTCTCTGTTCCAATGGTAATAATTCTCTGCTGCCAAATATTTCTATTTCTTCTTCTTCTTCTGTTTTCTTTCTCTCTTTTTTTAATTGAATTTTCTACATATGGCCACTTTATGGATTTGCTGCTAATTATGGAATCTCAAGCTATCTATGCGTAATTCTATATTCATTGATGTTACTTTTCACTGTTTTCTTTATTTGGTAAAGCAAGTTTTTTACTTTTTTGAAATTGATTTCTAATTAAATTTTCTAATTCTGATTGAATTTGTAATTGAATTTTCAATTGAATTTTTTTTAATTGAATTTTCAATTGAATTTTCTAAGCAAGTTTTTTTTTAATTGAATTTTCTAATTATGATTCTGAATCTGTAATTTTCATGTTTCAATGCGTTTTCATGTTTTCTAATTCTGAATCTGTAATTTTTTTTCTGTGAATCTGTTTGATGAATTTGATGAATAATTTTTGAATCTGTAAAAATGGTGAAACAGTTGTTGGGGGGAGAGGGAGGGAGGGAGGGAAGGAAGGAAGGAAGGAGGGAGGGAAGGAAACCGTTGGTTTTGGCTGAGTTGGCATGAATGGTAGCTGCCAAAGCTTGTGTCAAATTTGACACAAGCTTTGGCATTTCTCAAATTTGGCAGCTGCTATATTTTGCCATTGGAGCATCAAAATTCAATAACAGCTGCTATATATAGCAATGGCAGCTCCAATGGCAAACCATTGGAGATGCTCTAACTACTCGTATTATTTACTCATAAACTATTAAAATAAATATAATCTAATTATTCGGCTCCAATCTATTTAAATTTTTTACAAGAACATAATTTTACAATGGCTTCGTTTGGGAAGAGTTAAATAGAATTTTTTTTGATTATTTTAATCATAAAAGATAAAATATGTTATTTTAGTTATAAAAAATAAAATATCATATCTAACTCATAATCATTATACTCTTCTCTCACAAAAAAAATTAAAAAGTCAAAAAATTATTCCCAAATTAAAATTTTTAACCCAAATTAAAATAATAAAAAAAACTAAAAAATTAAAAAGCGAACCTACTTTTCCCACGGAGGCAATATAAACCGCTGAAATTACAAAAAGTAGGTCAGAAAAACCCTACACACCTCCGAACGGGGGAGAAGCCTTGCTGGTACTGGAAATGGAAAAGCACATTCTCTTTTCTAATTTTTCTAGGCAATCAAACAGGAAAAAGCAGTATAAAACGAAAGAAAAAGCCATTAAAAAGGACGAAGCAATGGGATGTTGTTATTGAGACAAACGTACTTACAAATCAACCACAGTGAAGCTTGTTAGGTAAAAAGCAGAACAGAAAATAAGCAAGCGGTTTGGCACTAGAGTGCCATTTTCACGACCAACACGCATTCCGAGGAACCAAACAGCAATCATCCACCTGTTCAATCTACAAGAGATTTTGAGTCCCACATAACCCAAACAGCCCTTACACGTGTCACTCCCTTGTTTTGCATGCCACCCGCACCGCTCTATATATATGCATATATAGGTCATGTATATACATACATCTATATATAGGTCATGTATTCATAATCACTCACTAGTACCTTCCCCAAGCTGGTTGGCGATTCGACCCGGTTCAGTCACAATGGAGGCTTACCGGTTTAAATTTAGCTCGATTGTGTGGCTTCTGCTAATGGTTGTAGTGCCTTTGGAAGCTGTAGGAGGCGTTCGAACCGGCCGGCTGAACCGGTGGGATCAGGTTATTCGGATGCCTGGGGATCAGGACGACGAACCGGAAACAAACAGCACACGATGGGCGGTTCTCGTGGCCGGTTCATCCGGGTATGCAAACTACAGGCATCAGGTGAAGAAACACTTGACCCCCTCGTGCATTTTAGCTTACTCAATTTTCTTTTCTTTTTTTGTGATTTTGGATTGGAATAAAATGGATTTGATGTTTGGATTTTAGATTTTGAATTTCAAATACTAATCTCGTCACTCATTTCAACTGGAAGGTACTGTCTACTCTGTCAAGTCTACCACTAATCTCAACCGTTTGTAGGATTTTTAACAATGATAGAGAGTGGAACTCTAAAGGAAGTTAGTGGCGAAAAAATAAATAAACAACCAAAAATATAAGTACACACGTCACATCATATATCAATTTTACCCCTTACTATATTACTAAAATTCTCTTTATGTTGTGTTTAGTTGGGAAATTTGGGGAGGGATTTGGAAAGAAAAAGAGAAAAGGTGTGTGAAACTAGGTGAAATGTATGTATATTTTATTCACATTTCACCTAACTTTTCTCTTTCCTCCCTTTCCCTTTTTCTTTTCAAATTCCTCTTCAAATCCTCCAACCAAACACAACGTTAACGTTCCAAAATTAAAACTTTCAATCTTCATTATTTATTATTTTTATTTCAAAAATGTTTTGAAACTCTAATTTGTGAGTCTAATAGCTCTAATGTGTGTGGGGCTTATTGATGTGATGTTTTGACCTTGCGTTTTGTTTTGTTTTGTTTTTTTTTATTTTCCACCTCACTAGAACCCAATTAAAGTTCTAGTTTTAAAGAGATGTATCATTGTTGTTTTTATTTTATATATATCATATAAAAATGGGTTTTTAAAAATTAATCTAGAATGTTTTGAGAAGATAGTTAAAAGTTGATTTTTTATTCTTAACCAATTTTTCTGACTTTTTTAAAAAGTCATTTGAAAAGTTGATAAAAAATTATTTTTTGACTTTTTTTTTTTATTTATTAATCTTTGTTTATGCTGTTACATGACATTCAAATAATCAAAATACCTGATTTTGCCCTAGCCCATAAATGTAAACATGGAGGGTATAATTGTAATTTCACAGATAATTTTAACTACCTTCCCAAATAGTTTTAATATCAAAAAAGTCAGCTTTTGACTTTTTCAGCCAGATGCAAAACGTAACTTTTATTTTTCTTCCCGAATAGCACATCATTAAACTTAAATTTTTATTTTTATAGATGATATATATAAAAAAAAAATTACAAAATAAACGTTTTGAATCCTGAAATCAGCACAGGTCCGGACAGCACTCTCCAGTTGAGTGAGACAAGTGATTGGAGGGCAGGCCAGTCCTTATTTAAAATTACGATATGGAGGCATAATGTAATGGAATGAATAAAATACAGGCGGATGTATGCCATGCGTATCAAATACTGAAGAGAGGAGGATTGAAAGACGAGAACATAGTGGTGTTTATGTATGATGATATTGCTGCGAGTGAACTCAATCCGAGGCAGGGCATCATAATTAACCATCCACAAGGTCAAGATGTCTATGCTGGTGTCCCCAAGGTATATTCATCCTCATTTTACGTCTCTTGTTTCTATTGCTGTTGTTATTCTTGTTTATGTCTGGTTATAATTCCAGAGTAATTATCATTTGCTATATTCAATTCTAAAAAATGATTTGACCTGTTCTGGCGAGATGTTTGGTTGTTTAACAACTTATAGCTATTAAGCTGGATTGAAAGATCCAGTAATTATCGTGCGAATCAATTTACTTGGTTTGTGGCTTGATTTCAAATCTTTGATTTAGATTCTTTTTAATCTTTTCGTTTTTTTGACAAATTATATCAGTAGTCCATACATACATTTTGCCCTTATATCATTTATGTCATTTTGATCCTGTAATTTCAATTAGCTCACTTTTGATAATTAGTTTTAAATTTTGTGTAAATTTGGTCCTTTTGACGACACTGATTATGTCATTTTGTGTCAATTTAATCCAATTAATAATATTGCTCATGTCTGTATTTTGTATTAAAAAAACACTAACAATTTTAATTAATTGGATCAAATTAAGATAAAATTATAAATTTATGCTCAAAATTGAGCCAATTAAAATTACAGTGTCCAAAATGACACAAGGCCAAAGTATAGGGAGTACCGATGTAATTTGGACTTACTTTAATATAAGAATCTTTAATTTGACTCAAACGCTCATTTCAATTTCTTGTTTATTTTATTTTCTTTACAAAACATATTGATCTTAATGAACGGATCTTATGGAAATTTCGTACACACATGCAGAGTACTACTGATTTTTTTTTAATTCTTTATTTTGTACTTTGGTTTAATGAAAAGGGCATGTAGCAAGTGGTGAATTTGTGTTCTGGAAAGATAGTAATGATACTACTCTTTTCTTTGCAATTCCCTTAGCTCATCTTACTCACTGACTTGAGATCATAGGATTACACTGGCAAGCATGTCAGCGTGAAGAATTTGTACGCGGCGCTTTTGGGTGATAAAAAAGCGGTGAAAGGTGGAAGTGGGAAGGTTGTGGATAGCAAGCCCAATGATAGGATCTTTCTATACTACTCTGATCATGGAGGCCCTGGTGTACTCGGTGAGTTCCAAATTCATCCTCTTTATATCATACAATCTTTCTCAATTTGCTTATTTTCTGTGTGACACGAAATGCCTGAGTGTCTCACGTTTCAGGAACAAGAAATTGAACAGTGAATCTCATAGTTGTTGTGTCATTACCTTTACAAATTACAGCCCGTAGTCTAGCATATTGAAATGCAGTTCAAAGAAGCCTTTTCTTTTTCCTTTTCAAATTGCTACCTAAATTTATGATCTAAACAAAGCCTTAACATGGGCTCAAATTACAATTAATAGGTGGCGCAAGTTCCTTTGTCCTCAAATCTCCCTATCCCTCTGTTCTAAACCATACACATCTATTGGATCGTTTCTTCATATGCACCTTGAGATTTTCAATGATCTATAGGTTAGGAGTGTTTTGGGAGGGGGATAGTTTTAGGGATAGAGAGCATCCTTGGCTGTAATAGGCAGGTATGGCTATAAATGTCATAATGCACAAGCAACTTATATATACTAGCAATGCTGGAACATGCTATGAATCCTTAGTGTGATTGTTCGTTTGTTTGTAGGGATGCCAAATATGCCTTTTCTTTATGGCAAAGATTTCATTGAGGTTCTGAAAAAGAAACATGCATCTGGTAGCTACAAAGAGATGGTAAGTTTCTCTCCCTTCTATAAATTCTGTCACTTGATTTTTATAATAATTTTAATGTTTGCTTAAATGGTATCATGGGTATGCAGGTTATATATGTTGAAGCATGTGAAAGTGGGAGTGTTTTTGAAGGCTTGATGCCCGAAGATCTGGATGTTTACGTTACAACAGCATCAAATGCAGAGGAGAGTAGCTGGGGAACATACTGCCCTGGGATGGACCCTGCTCCACCTTCCGAGTACATAACTTGCTTAGGGGACCTGTATAGTGTTGCTTGGATGGAAGACAGGTATGCTCTATTGCACTTTTGAAGAGTTAAACTGAGTCACTCTGGGAATTACCTTTAAGATATTAAGCTGGTGTTGACATTAACATTTACAGCGTATTTGGTAACTCGAATTCCATGCCCTGAATAGGAATTGAATTTCAAAGAGTACATTACATACCACCAAATGCAGCAGCACACAATCAAGAATAATTCAGGGAAAATTGAGAAAAAAAAAATATTGGGGAAAGACAATTGGGAAACCCAGGGTTTTCGTAGCACATAGCATAAGTTTGTATTTTATAGAATACATGTATTCTGAATTTTTTTTGTTTCTTCTTTTTTTTTTCCCCCATTATACTCGGCAATCATTAATGCTTCCTTGTGTTTTTCTGTAGTGAGACGCACAATCTGAAGAAAGAAACAATAGAGAAACAGTACACCAATGTAAGACCCAAATATTTTGAACCCTCATCAAATGCATTGACAGAGTTTTGATTCATTTAGTATCTGATTCAGTTTCCCCATGGGAAGCTTTCAAGGTTCTACAATCTGATTGAGGTTTGTGCACAGAAAATCAATGGGGTTTTTTGGGCACACAACCTAATAGATGTGGAGCTTAAAGGCCACACTGTCAAAGCATTGTGCCCAAGTCTAATACTTCAATTAGTTGCTTCAATCTCGTTACCGGTTGATCTGATACATGAAAGTATTACTTTGTGCAGGTGAAGGAGAGGACTTCAAATTACAACACATATAATGCCGGATCCCATGTGATGGAATATGGGAATAAAAGCTTCAAAGGCGAACCACTTTCTCTGTATCAAGGTTTTGATCAGGCCACAGAGAACTTCCCACCCAACAAATTACACTTTGATACACGCATGGGTGTTGTCAACCAAAGGGATGCAGATATTCTTTTCTTGTGGCAAAGGGTGAGCACTGTCCTTTCTATCTTCTTTTTACTGACATTGACAACTAACTTCAGAGTTCTTAGGGTCCTTGAACAGCCATGCTAGTTTCTATCCATTGGACAGAGTTTGCAATACTTGGAAATGAATTTGTAGTCAGAATGTCATTATTATTATGATACAGATTGATCATTATCAATGAAGGTTGAGATGTGAATAATCAGCCTACTTGAAATGGGACCTTCCCAAAATCATAAACAAGCCTTTCCATTCGCTTGCGTTGAGCATAGAACACTATGATTAATCATTCTCAGAAGCTAGTTTGTTTTGGTTGATTATTGAGTGCATGATATCATTTAGAGTGATTTCATTAAACCTACTATTAATTTCTTATACTAGAGATTGAAGAGTTTTTAGTCTTGTGCTCTAAATCTGTTGAATGTACCACAGTACAAAAAATCTGAAAAGGGATCGGAAGACCCATCGAAGACCAAAATTCTCAAACAGATCACAGAAACGATTATGCGCCGAATTCACTTGGATGGTAGCATACACACAATTGGAATGCTTCTATTTGGACCGCAAATGGGTCCTTCTATCCTCACTTCCACGAGAAAACCTGGTTTAGCCATTGTTGATGATTGGATGTGTCTCAAATCGATGGTAATTTTCCCCCCTCTTTCCATTCATCTTGTTCCCCTTTGACACATGGTGGTCACTAATCACACCGACCTCTAATACCTGAATTTCCAATCACAGGTCCGGGTGTTTGAGAATCATTGCGGATCATTAACTCAGTATGGCATGAAGCACATGCGAGCATTTGCAAATATTTGCAACAAAGGGGTCTCTGAGGCTGCCATGGAAGAAGCTTCTATGGTTGCGTGTGGCGGGCGCAACTCGGGCCAGTGGCACCCTTCAAAAATAGGGTATAGTGCTTGATTTTTGGAGCTTGGCCTGCGGTAGTTTTCTTGCACATGTTAGGTTGTAAAATATAAGTGCTTAATACTTTCAAACTTGCATTGTCTGTCTATGTTTCCGCAACGTTGTCAAGTTTCTTTAAGTTTTGTGTATATAAAGCGAGCAGGACTATAAGCTTGAATATGCATAGAACACTCACTTGGTTCTCTCTCTTCCTCCCCATTTCGCCTAAACAAATTTAGGGAAAACTGGAAATATTGAACTGATAAGGCTCTATCAAACATATTAGTTTCTGGGGAGTGATGGCTCTCAACAACACTTCTTGGTGGTTGAAATTAAAGATTGACTTTGGATCCTTGTCTCCACTGTCTTCTTCTCCTCATTTTTATTCCCTCCAAATACAATTCGAGGTCAGTCAGTGAGACAATGGGAGACGAACTTCATCGTAGTGGGACAAAAGACCGGACCAGATCACCATATAAGTGTAAGGTAGCAGTGACCATTAGGTTACTTTTGATCAGAGTTTATGACTAAATTCTAGTAGCCAAGGCACATCAATCTGTATAGGAAGAGTTTGAACCAGCTTCTTATTTGGAAAGAAAGAGAATTGGAGCTGCTGCTAGGTTAGTTTATTTGCATATTGGTTTTACTGCGGGGTTATAAATGAGTCGAGGAGGGTTGAGTTTAATAGCACTACCGAATTTAAATGAATAATGTTATATACACCAATTGGTATATTAGTTAGTATATTAACAGATGATGTAATATAATTTTAATAATTTGTATAATGGGTGGGGTCATAGTTTTGAAATGATAATGTCATAACATATATTGGTACACTAATTAGTATACCAATTGATGCATGTAGCACCATCGAATTTAAATTTGACTTGAAATAGTAGGGTAGTTTTCGAGTTGAGTTCAATAGTAGATAATTTAAATTTGACTTGAAAAGTTAACAAATTTAAAATATGTTCAAATTTGATTTGTTTATATTTTTAGCTGATTTGGAATGAATTTTAATCGACCCAATTATGAGTCCAACTCAAGTAGCTTTATTTTATTTTTTTTTAGCACATATAATTGAGTTGAGCAGAATAGTAGATTGTTTAAGCTTAATTTGAAAACTTAAAAAAAATTGAAATATGTTTAAATTTGACTTGTTTATCTAATGTGTCAATCTCAAATAGAGTTTTTTTTTTTTGTTTTTTTTTTATTTTTTATTTTTTATTTTACTTAATTGAATATAAGTTGAATTCTACTAGCTTAGTGTGTTGGGTTGTGTAGATTTTGGTAAGTATTGTTCAATTTTGTACAAATTGAAGATTTAAGAGCTCCTTTGCAGGACTTGTGAGTAGATGTTTTCCATGTCTAATAAGTTTGCATGCTGGGGAGTTGGGCTTTAAGCATTCTTCTTCGTCTCTAATTACAAATAGACCTAAAAAAATCTATCATCTAGGCTACAAGCATAAAATGAAACATAGACCTTATAAATTATTATCACAATTTCAAATTTGGCTATGTTTTATGCATAAAAATTAGGGGGATTTTTTTTAAGGTCCCTGATATTAAGACTTTATAGCATAAAAGACATCCAATATTTTCATAATGTCTAAGGTCCCTCAAGTCAAACCAAAGAAAATTCAACTAGAGAAAATTCAATCTAGTGAAATTCTTTGGTCAAAATCCAAAGAAAATTCAATTTAATCCAGAGAAATTCTCTGGTCCAAATCAGAGAAAATTCAATCCAGTGAAATTCTTTGGTCCAAAATCAGAGAAAATTGAATTTAATCCAGAGAAATTTTCTTGTCCAAACCAGAGAAAATTCAATTCAGAGAAAATTTTATACAAACTTTGTAATGGTAGGCCTGTGTTTGAACTTGTGTTTGGAGTTGAAAATTCAACCAAAGAAAATTCCCAGGTATTATTGTGCATTGAATTGTGCCTTTCTTCTTCTTACTCTTCACTCCCCAAAGATCTAGACCAAGATCATTTGCTGTAAACAGATGGACCGAAGACGAACAGAGACTCTTCAGAGTCAACTCTACGTTCGCCAGTGGAGCAGCGAATCTAGCGCCACCGCTACCTCCTCCTCTCTAGCAATGTCACCGTCGCATCACCACCACTCTCGTTCTTCTTCCACCACAGGCATTTCCACCTTCAAGCGCAATCAGACCTTCGCCGCCAAACCCGCCTCCATCAGGCTCGCTCAGGTCATGGCTTCGCACATCTGCCACAGAAATGATAACAGACATGAGATCGACGAGAGAGAGAAAGAAAGAGAGAAGAGCAGCGGGAGAGAGGGGAGTAGTGGGTAAAAGAGATAGAGAGCGTGCGATGAAGAAATAAGAAGGGAGAGAGAGCAAGACAGTGGTGTTGAGTTGCAGTGGGATGCTAATAATAGTATATGTGACCAATGCATCGGATTAGGAGGAAAGTGTGATGGACTTTACATAGTATAAAATAAACATTGTGGACATCTTCCATTATTGAAAATGGATGAGGAACCTTAGACTAATTTTCTCTAAAAATTATATTTATATATTTTTTAATCAAGAAAATATGTTTATATACCATTTTTAAAAAGAATTTCACTGTCATAAAATAAAGAGATTGGATACCATGCTTTTAAGTTTCTTATTATTTAGAGGAAATTATCATATTGTAAGGCCAAATACCTTCTCCATTAGGCTATTTTGTACATTTGTCATTCGAGTTTAAAATTAAGAATTTAATATTAAAATTGTGTTTGAATCATAAATTTAAAATAAATAAATAAATAATGTGAGAGTAATATAAATGAAAAATAAATAAATTTTTTATTTTTAAATTCATAAGTAAATTTATAATTTAAACGTAGTATAAAGCTCATATATCATAAGTGGACGGAAGCGGAGTCACTGTCGTGTTCCCTGCTGTACCTAAAACGGCACAGTTTCAGCCTCCTTTTTTTTATTTTTTATGTTCTCACTATGTTTTTTGATGTGATAAATTACACTTTTTTTATTATTATTATTTTAAGGTTTAGGGTTTGGGATTTAATTCTTAAAATTTATATATTTTTTATTTTAGGGTTTAGGTTTAAGGTTTAATTCTTAATTTTTTTTTATTTTTTATTTTAGGGTTTAGGGTTTAATTTTTAAAATTTATTATTTTTATTTTATGGTTTAGGGTTTAATTCTTAATTTTTTTTTATTTTAGGGTTTAGGGTTTAATTCTTAAAATTAATTTAATTTTTTTTATTTTAGGGTTTAAGGTTTAGGATTTTATTTTTAAATTTTTTTTATATTTTATTTTAGGGTTTAAGGTTTAGGGTTTAATTCTTAAAATTTATTATTTTTTTATTTTAGGATTTAGAGTTTAGGGTTTAATTCTTAAAATTTAATTTTATTTATTTATTTTAAGGTTTAGGTTTTAATTTTTAATTTTTTTTTATTTTTTTATTTTAGAATTTAAGATTTAAGGCTTAAGACAAAGTGTAAGGTTTAGGTTTTAATTTTAAAATTTTTTTTATTTTTTTATTTTAGAATTTAAGATTTAAGGCTTAAGGCAAAGTGTAATTTATAACATCAAAAAATATAGTGACAACATGAGGAAAAAAAAAAAAACCCTAAAACAATGCCTACACAGTAGTGGGGGTCACAGCAGTGAACCCGTGTCCTAATAGGATTGGTTATCTTTATTTAATCGAAGTGGCCGTAACTCGAGCTGAACATTCAATTACCAACACAAAAAATACTAAGCCTCCGTTTGGCAAGAAAAAGCCCAGGTTTTTTTGGTTAAAATAGCCACAAAAAACAAAATAGGCTATTTTAGCCATAAAAAACAAAACATCAAATCCAACCCATAATCATTACAATCCTCTCTCACAAAAAAAGCTAAAAAAGTTAAAAAGCCAAAAAGCCATTCCCAAACCAGGCTAAAAAGGCCAAAAAGTCAAAAAGCCAACCCACTTCCCAAACGGAGGCTAAAATCTATATCATAAACATGAGAATGGCTTCTTTCTATATTTTCATCGTTCATATTTTTTTATATTTTATTTTTTGGGTTTTATTTTAGACCAACATTAATAATTTAAACCGTTATCTAGTAATTTTAATAATTTAAATGAGTTATGTAAAAAAATTAGTTTAATCAGATATTATTAAATATATGAACAAATTACATCTTATTTTTTTAAATGGACAATTTAAACTTAAATCTTTTATTCCAGATTGTTTCAAGAAGCTAGTTAAAAATTGGCTTTTTAATTTTTTTTGACTTTTTTAAAAAACTTGTGTAAAAAAATAGATAAGTGATGTGATCCAAAAAATTTAAAAAATTGACTTTTAACAAGCTTGTCAAAATAGGCCTCTATAAAACAAAAAGCAATTTGTTTATGTATTCATCGGTATCTAATAAAGCTGATTTTTTATATAGATGATCTTCATCTTGAGATTTATAACATGAATGGCTTAGATTATCATTGTGGATTTAGAATGGAACCCAAAAAATAAATTGTTAAATAGTATGGAGAATAGACGTTTAGAGGGGAGTTATACCCGTAAAGATGAGAAGTTATTTAGGTACTGTTTGGTAATACTTACGTTTTCAATTTTCTGTTTATATTTACAAAAATTTTAAAAACTCAAATAAAAACTTGTTTGGTATATGTTTGATTTATAAATCAGTGGTCTCAGTTTATAAATTTGGCCAAAAAATATACTCAAAAAATATGTTTCCGTTTTGAGTTTTTAGTTTTTTTTTTTTTTTTTTTTACCACCCAACATTAGCCACCACCCGCTACCATTTTCCACCACCATCTTCCGCCACCACCACCCACTACCACCTGCCACCACCACTCACCACCCACCATCCACCAGCCACCACCCACCACTTGCCGCCGCCACCATCACCCACCAGCCACTTGTCATCTGTCACCCACTCACCACCACCACCACCACCACCCACCAACCAGCCCCACCCGCCACCATTTTCCACCATCGTCTTCCGCCACCACCTACCATCCACCGCCTGCCACCACCACCACCACCCGCCACCCGCCACTACCATCCACTGCCCGCCACTACCACCCACCTGCCACCACCGGCCACCATCCACCACCACCACCCACCACCTACCCACCACCACCACTCGCCATCCGCCACCCACCTGCCACCCACCACCACCTGCCGCCACCACTACCACCACCCA